AAAAACAAAGCAAGGAAATTATATCATTAATTGTGGAAGCTTCAACAATTTAAGAAATAAAAATTTAGGATGGGTGCAGGCCTTCGATTCCAGCAGGGAGAAGCAGGTGGATCTCTATGAACCTGGTCTATGTAGCAAGTTTTGGGCCAGCTAGGGCTATAGGGAGGCCCTATCTCAGAAAAACCAAACCAAAAAAAAAAAAAAAGGAAATTCACATATTCATACATGATAATTAATCCCTTAATATAAGAAACTAACTAGACAGAAAAGCTGTTAAAATCAGCAGTTTCCATGCACACACAGATGTACATACTCAAATATATATGAGAAATAATAAATTACGTTTATTAACAAAGCATCTAATTCACTAGGGCATCAAAAAAGTTAAATACCTAGAATCATCTCAATAATAATGTGTGCATCTGTATGAACACACATACAGAATAGATTAAGAACTTTCTAGGGTACATATAGGAGTAGGCTTGAAGAAATGAGGAACATGCCATCCATTCAAGCGAAAAATTAATCTTGCCAACTCACCACAATTTGTGTTTCTACTTAAAACCTGACAAAGTCACTCACTCTTAATCTTGAAGAATATATTAATAAACACAGGTGATGTCTGTGCCCTCTCCTCGGTTGCTACTCTCATCATCTCTGCATGGGATTATTAGACTCACCTCACCTAACTCCCTGCCCATAGTGGGGGAGCAAGTTCTCAATTTACAGCGCTACTCTTCAGCATACTTGACCTGTCACTGTCGCTGCTCACCTTCTGTTGCCTCTCCTCACATCATCTATCCACTTTCATTCCAGTCTTATTAACATAAGGTCCTAGAATGAATGAACACTCTGCCAGGCCTTATAGTACCTAAGCAGCCATTTGCCGGTCTTTCTGAGATCCATCCCCCATTCTCTCTTATCAATCCACCAGCTGCAGTGCTTCTCTCTCAGAATGCCCTTTGCAACTTCCTCTAGAATAACTTGTAATCCCTACTTTAAATTTTCATAGAGGCTTGGGACTGTGCTAAGAAGCCATATGCATAACACTGTTCTATGTCAATGGCTTCACTCTCCATTCACTCCTATCATGACTGCCAGCAGCAGCCAGCTAGAACTGGACAGTTGGAGCAGTGATGAAGAAAATGAGAAAGCCTAATGGACAAGGAAGACACTTAAGTGACTTCAACCCTGAAGCATTAAGAAGACAGTCTAAAAGTCTAGAACTACAGAGAGTCCTTTATAAATTCAGAATAAGCAAAAGAACCTTGACTCTCCAATCGAGGTGGCAAGTCTTTAAGAAAGGCAGAGTAAAATGACTTTTGGCCCTTCTAGGTCTTACTCTTCTAAAAATGGGAACAGTCTAGATGTGGTTATTTAGAAAAGAGTTGAAGACCACATGAGATATAATCCAGGTGTGCATGGTGGCACACGCCCATAATCCCAGCATTTGGGAGGCTGAAGCAGGAAGGTAAGGAATTCAAGGTCAGGTTCCACATCAGACCTGTCTCAAAACAATAAAAATGGGACTGAAAAAATGGCTCAGTGGGTGAAGTGCCTATCATGCAAGGGTGAGGACTGGAGTTCAGATCCCCAGAACCCATATAAAAGCTGGGTGGGTATGGTGGCCTGCCTGTAATTCAGGGCTTGGAAGGTAGAAACAGGATCCCCAGAGCAAGATGGCTAGTGAGATTAGGCAAATTAGAGAACTCTGGTGAGAGAGCCTTTCTCAATATAGAAGATGGAGAACCATCAAAGACACTCAGGGTCAATCTCAGGCCTCCATATCTAAATACACAACATACACACACAAAAAGCAAAGCAAAAGAAAAACAAAAAATAAACCAAAACAAACAACAAAAACTCTACACGAGATTCAACAAGCAGAGAAAGAAAAAGGAGGCATGTTTGTCAACACAAGTACCAGGTCTAAAACAAACAGCTTGAAAGGAACAGAACAGTAAGGACCCCACACAGATTCTGTCCTGGAAGTCCTCTCTTCCCAGATTTCCTTAAGAAACAGAGGAAGGGCTGGGACTCTATGTAGCTCGGTAGTAGAGACCTTGACTAGTATGCACATAGTCTTAGGTTCAATCCACAGGGCTTGGAAAAAAAAAAAACAAAAAGCCCCACAATTTCGGGCTGGGAAATCTAGGAGGTCAGTGCTAGTCTCAGAAGACAAGGAACACTGGCAAACGGAGAAAGAGAGACCTGGAAAGTACCAAGACTACAGGAAGTATTTTGGAAAGCTACAATCCCACAAAAGGCTACATACTATGCTTGCCAACTGAGCAAAAGATTAAGGATTCTGCCCAGAGTACATGATGCTCCCTAACTGCCAGCAGGAACCAGCCCTGCATCCACTGTAAAGGTCCAGTTAAGGGAAACTTGGTTTCAGACACTGTCACACAGCAAAGCTTGTAGCAGAAGAAGGTGATTCCCATTTTCATCTCATGTTTTATGGAGAGGAAAAATATCCTTTTATTCATTTAAACACTGATTCTCGCTACATATAAACATGGGTTCAGATTACGTTAACTTGGTAGAGACTGGGAGGGCGGACATGGTCTCTGGTCCACGAGGTCTCTGGTCCACGAGCACACAATCTATTGAGAAGATAAGAAACTCTAAACTCTATGACAGGGATAAGCACCATATACAGACATCAGCACTAAGAAAGGCAAAAGGAAATGAAACCTAAAATGACATCAAAGATTAAGCAACTGGTTATCATACTACAGACCAAACCAAAGCACTACAAAGGCCAGGAGGTAGCACAGCCTTTTGCTTTAAGAAAATAAAATTTAAAAAGGCTAGTACAAAAGCACTCAAAGAGAAGGAGGCAGAGGACTACGGAAAGACTGAGAGGACTGGAGAAGTCACTAGAACCAAACCATGTAAGGCCTAACCAACCATATTACAGAGGCTGAAGCTAGCTGCAAAATCATTCCGAGAAAGCCACAGCAGTAAAGATAATTTGGTCAGATTTATACATTTTTTAACATGACTATGATGTTTAATTCAATCGTTCTACCCAATTATACAGTACAGGGGATTAAAAGCATTTTGAAAAGTCAACAGGAAACTGATAAACAAATGAACTTCTATTACAAAATAAAACACACACATATACACACACAAAATGGGTATTTCACCATAACCAATAGTCTGTGAACAAGAAAAACATTTAGTTAACAGCGACCATACTTAATAGCTGAGTATCATACTATACCTGAGTATTAAATTTACACCTTCATCTACCCCATTATTCTTTATCCAACCTTAATTTCAACCTCTTGTCAAACAAACCTTCCTCCCCAAATGTCCTCTGTAACCACACATGTCCAACACAGGAATCACTAGACATATAAGGATACTTAAATTAATTAAAATTTTAAGATTCAGTTTCTAAGTGGTGACAGCTGAATTTCAGGTGTTTAGTAGCTTCAGGTGGCTACCGGCCCTGAAGGCCAGTCACTGATACAAACACTTCTCTGGATGAAGAAAGGTCTACCAGACAGTACTGAGTTATACCTAAGGCTGTCACTCTGCTAGGTTGGGCTATTTATTATCAAGCAGCACCTGACCTGTCTGAGAAAGCACCTGTGAAGGCTGGCTCATTCCCTGCCTCCTGCCCACTCCTTGTATATTAATAAGTCCTCACGGTACAGTGAAGAATCAGGGTGTACAAACCACAAGACAGGCTCTGTGTTGTGGCTCATTAATCCTCACTATGCTCTCAAGAAATAGAAAAGCAGCAGGCAGCACCATGTTTTATAGGTGAGGACACCAAAGCACAGAAATTAACCTGCCTGAGGCTATAAAGTCAATAATGGAGTCACAAATAAAAGCTGGATTCCCTAACACCCTGACCAGAGCTCCATTCATTAAAGTAGTCACTACTGATTTAAGAACCCTAGGATGGAAACTATTCCATTTCACCTGACCCAAGCAACCATTTGCGTTTTCAAATGGCTTACTACACCCAAAGAGGGCCATAACTGTAAGGTCCTCACACATTAGAGGTTCTATTAGGTTCATGTATACAAATACACACATATACTAAGGAAAATAAAAAATGGGAGATTTATATATAAAAAATTATTTCCCCCAAGTTTGACCCCAACTATCTTACAACATCTCATAGGAAATAGAGAAGACACACCAACCAAAAGCACCAACATATGGTATATTCTTATATTAGTAATCAGTTTTTCAATCATGTTAAATGGGTACCTATTTCTAAAAATTACAACTTCAAAGGTCTGCATTTTTTATTCTTATATGCCTCATAACAAGAGGAAGGCTTTTATTTTGCTCTTTTAGAACCTACAAAAGCAGTGGGGGCCCAGAGAGGCAATGCTTGCATTTTTGTTTCAACTACCTAATTAACTGAAAAGAGTGAAACAATATAGAGACATGAGCCAAGTTACAGATTAAAGATATAAAATCTACATACGGCATTTGCTTGTGATCCTCTTGACAATAGCAATTTAAAATGCATCCACCAGCATTTGCTAATGCTCCTCTGTGCCCTGACACTGCAAAACAATTTACTCAGTCTTATTTGAATAATGTGAAAAATCTAGAAAATAATTCAGTTGCACTTGCCCAATATCTGAATTCTTATATACTTTAACTTCTGCTGTACAAAATATGCAGAAAGGGCATAACAGAATATTTAAAGTAATTCTAAAGAATTAGGTAGCATAAAAATAATTAAAACTCTGATTCGTATTAATTAAGTCTGACTCAATCTACAGAATATAAACCCTAAATGAATTTGTCTGTAAAGTCAAAGTTTCTAAAATGAATCTGAAATTGTTTCTAAAGAGAACAAATCTCCTCCAAATAGGTACGTCTTAAGGAAGACAGCATGAACATGGTTCTAACTATGCACCCTGATGGTCACGTCTCACTTTAGCTGTGGAAGCTGAGAGAGAAAAACGCCAGTTTGGGTGGTAGCACCTTTCTTCTGTACATGTCAGATGACTACTCACACGGCATTCCTGGAAGCGCCATAGGAGAGCAACAGCTTCACTATGTCCACATGCCCATTCTTGGCCGCATCATGAAGAGGGGAGTCATTCTGATAGCCAGTAGTGTTCACCAAAGCATTGTGCTGGAGCAGCAATTCCACTATCTTCAGGTGCCCATGGCTACAGGCTTCATGCTAATTAAGTCATTTTTAAAGGTAGGAAATAGAAAGTGGGATGGGAAGAGAAAAGGACATTAATAAACATGCTTTAGAAAAATCAAAGGGAACTTCAGACACTAAATTTACGTAACTACTTACATAACGACTCTGACCTTTGGTTGTTGACTGAGTAAAAGCCATTAACAGTAATCTTTGTGGTAAGATACATGATGATCAAAATCATGGGCAAAAATAGCCCTTGAAGGTCACATGCAACTACAGCTCCCAAGTTGTTCTACAATAATTTTTAAACATTAAGGAAAAAAAAAATCTTAGTATTTAACAACCAGACGACACATAAACTCTGAAGCTCTCCAAGGCTGCACAGAATTCAGTGCATCACTTCATACACTAACGATACACCAGCACAGACACATAACAGCCCAACAAAGCTAATCTCCCGGGAGCATTTATAAGCCAAGTTCTCTATGCTGAAGCCAGAGACTACTGGACAGCTGGCGTCAGTGACAACACAGGTAACCATGAGTGGTTTTTAAAAGAGCTTACTGAACCAACGACAGTAACGACAGAACTCCTAACAATGGTAGGAGGGACGGTCTAGGAGGAAAGTAAGCTAAGAAAGACAGTCAACCTTCCTTTGAAAAAGCTGGCTAGCCTATGGATTCCAAACAATAAATACTATGTATAATCCAGACCAAGTCTCCTTGGGTTAAGATTTTGGCAAGAAGTCATTTTATATAACTTTAATGCATTTTTGCATCTGCCAAATGAGTCTCGGTTTCTGTGTTCCACTTCTAGTTTACAAGATAAAGGCACCCATCTCCTTGTGCTTCCTGTCTTAATTAGCCCAGGTAGAAATTGTTTGCAAGTGTGTTTCCCATTCTTTTTCCAGGGTACTCTTCACATTGCAATGATAATAATGATCAACAAAGACTTCAAAATTTTAAAGATATTCAAAGCTTTCTATTGCCATGACCTCTATTTGACCGATCAGGCTGCACGGTGCCAAAATCAAACTGGTTCTAGTGGCATGCGATGCTGCAGTTGGAGCATGATGTTCACTGAGCAGCTACCTGCACAAGGCTGAATTCAACAATGCAGTGAAACTGGACTCCTATATCCAAAAGCACTCAAAAGGTAGCCAATTACTTTCCTGTCACACTGAAAAGCTAGATGAAAAATAACTATTTTTTCACACTTGGTAAAAACATAAATTCTTCAGATGAAGAAGAGTTTATGTGGCAGAGGATGATATATGGACAACCACATAACTATAAACTAGAGCCATACGCATAAGAGAATGAGAACAGAAAACAAACAGATCTACAGCACTGCAAAAATATACAAACAGAAAACTACCAACGGTGTCCATCCAGCATGGTCTTTAACGTTGGGGTCGTTTCCACTTTGCAAGAGGTAGTCAACAGAAGGTATATCGCCCTGGTAGAGTAACAAAAAAATTAAAAGGACATTAAAATGTATCATGAATGAAATCAAAATAGCACAGATTTGTTTTGTCTTAAAGACTGCATTCTTCAAATCAAACAAATCTTTTCCTTACACCTTGACTACTGCTCACAAGCCAAGAAATATTATCTATAGTTCTAAAATGTCAAGTTATTTTGTCTGGACTTGAATATTCACCACAAAAACCTTTATTAATAATCTATATTCAAAATTCAAGATCCAAAATAAAGACCCTGAGACAAAGATCATCCTAAAATTCAAGTCACCATTTCATTTGTGAAAACGTCTTTTCGGGCATACATGAGAATGATTTCTGGGCATTAAAATAAACAACTGTTTAAAAATCTCCAAAAACGTTTCTTTACTGGCAGTGACTCTACTTATCCTGTCACTAATTTAGCTTAGTCACTTTATTTTCTCTTTATTTGCTCCAAAGGTATCTTCATGGCAGACGCAGCAGTTCTGTTTAAAACGGCAGGAAAGGGATTAAGAGAAACATTCACAACCACCCACAAAATGAGCATTTAATTTTTATCCTCTGCCTCCATACCAAACCACTACCCACTGCCAATTAGCTCAACTACAGGAGATGCAGCTTTCATTAATTCTATGATATCCCTCACAAAGTTTTTAATAACTCCCTTGTGTTCCTAATGCAACAATCTAGAAATCCATGCAGTAAGTTTCAACACTGGTTCATCGATATAGTGAGGGCCAAAAGGAAGAGAGAGAAATAAGAACTGTCACTTCACTGGGGCAAAGACTGTTTTCAAAAGAGATGGACAAGATGTCGAGAGTAACTGAATTAAGATGAAGCAAAACTAACAGTCCACAATATTAATTCTACCTTCAAGTTATTACTATACTTTCAATCATTCAATGACATGAAAATTAAAGTCTCCTTCCAATTTAAAGCTTTCTGTGCCCGATGTGACCATATCCAACTAAATCCTAATATAGGTGAATGAACCTTATAGGCTCCTTTGAAGGAAGAAATGTTTGGAAACAGGATTCCCTTTAATGAAAGTGAACCCTGGAGTTGAGGCTGGGAATTCATCTCCTGCGGTCTCTATCAGGCCTCTGCACGCTAGGCATGTTTTCTACCACTTACTTATACCCCAACCTTCCTTTCTGTTCTTTTCTCAGAAACACACTCGCCAATCTGCTTAACACTTTGGTCTCTTTATCACATACTTAATAAGCACAGAAGGATCTGGCATCTATCTGCCACATTTGAGAACATATTTCATTAAGAATTGGTCACCCTTTAAAAAAAAAAAAAACAAATTTCTAGCTATAAAAGACATTTCCCCTTTTAGAAACAAAGTAAAGCTTTAGAACAAAAGGATAGCATTTATGTTGTGAGTTGAAGGCAGTATTTTCTGAAAACTATTACCAGTCACAGCAAGTTAACTAAAATCAGTTCTTTTAGGATAACAAGAAAGAGACAGGATCTATTCATGAAGCAAAGCAAAGCAAAATAATAGAACAGACTACCTGAAAAAGGCTGAGCAAATAAAACTTCCATATGACAAGAAGTATATAAACATGCTGTGTTCAAATAGTTCTGTGAACTACTTCTTTAAGGAAGAATGGAATCTCCCAATTCCAGCCCAATACTCTTTTATTTATTTTTAACTGAAACATAAAACAGTGCATATTAATGAGGTGCCTTTGGACTTTTTAGTAAGCATAATACTGAAATCACAGTAAACGTATCTATCTCCTCAAGCATTTATCATTTCTTCGTGGTCAAAACATTCAGCATCCGTTCTTCCAGCTTTTGGACACACAGTGCACTGCCATTATTACAGTCACCCTGCTGTGTAACACTCAGTAGAGCATCTTGCTCCTCTCCAACTATAACAGCCCAATCGTGTTTCTGAAATAAATTTCTATCTCCACTGGTTAATAATGTATAAGTCAGTTAAGTCCCTGGCTATATTAGTATTTGCGTTTTATTTCTCAGTGTACTGCCTTTTATAAATTTTGCTTTTTAAAAACTTGTGTCTGAGATATGGTTTCACACAGCCCAGGCAATCCTTAAACTCCTATGTAGTCAAGGATGATCTTGAACTTCTGATCCTCCTGCCTCTATCTCCTGCATGCTGACAATTTAGGCACTAGTGCCACCACATCAGGTTTTATGTGATGCTGATCTAAGCCTAGGTAAGCACTCATATCAACTGAGCTACATCTTTAGACCCTAGAAACTTTCTTTCTACTTTCATATTTTGGGCTACTTCTCATATTTTAAGCTACTTTTTATGATGATAGCTTAAATTTTTTCTAAAGAAAAAATTCATATGCATATATATTCAAATGTTCCTAAATTAACTAAACAACTTTAAATGTTTAATAGCCTAAAAAGAAAGTATTAAATTTGTTTCAAATTGACAGCCCCACAGAATGAACAGTCAATATGGCTACACTACCAAAAGCAAGTGACAAATTCAATGCACTCCCTATCACAACACCAATGGCTTTCTTCACAGAAATAGAAATTCTGAAATTCACATGTAAACACAAAAGACCCTGTAGAGCCAAATGAACAATGCTGGAGGCACAGAGCCACGGAACAAAACCTGACACTAGCAAAAAAAAAAACAAAAAAAACCTGACACACGTACAGAAAACTCCCGTATGGTACTGACACAGAAACAGACACAGATCAGTGGGGCAGAATAGAGGACCTGGATGAAAACCCACCACACAGCTACAGCCACCTGAATTCTGACAAGGATGTCAAAAACCCTGGCTAAGGACAGCCTCTTCAATAAACAGTGCTGATGTTCAAGAATATAAAACAATGAAACCAGATCCCTATCTCTCACCCTAATTCTATGGTACTGACACAGAAACAGACACAGATCAGTGGGGCAGAATAGAGGACCTGGATGAAAACCCACCACACAGCTACAGCCACCTGAATTCTGACAAGGATGTCAAAAACCCTGGCTAAGGACAGCCTCTTCAATAAACAGTGCTGATGTTCAAGAATATAAAACAATGAAACCAGATCCCTATCTCTCACCCTAATTCTATTCAAAATAGATCAAAGGTCCCAAGACTTCAAACTCTGAAACTGTTAAAGGAAAACAACAGGGGAACACTTCAAGTTACAGGGAGAGGCAAGAACTTTCTTAAAAAGAAATCAGGAAATGAGCCAAGAATTGACCAATGGAATCACACAAAATTAAAAAACTTCTGTGAAGCAAACGAAACAAGTGAAGAGATGGTCTATAGATGGGGAAAAAAAATCTTTGCTAACATCTGACAGGGGATTAATATCTATAATATATAAAGAACTGAAAAAAAAATGACAAGAAGAACAACAAAAATCAAACCCAATCAAGAAATGGGCTGATGAAATAAAGTTATCAAAAGATAAATTACAGGGCCTAGAAAGATAGTTCAACTGTTAGGAGCATTTCCTCCTCTTATAGAGAACCCATGTTTTGTTCCGAACACCCATATCAGGCAGTTCATAAACACCTTCCAGGGGATCCAGTGCCTCCTTCTGGCCTACACACACACACACACACACACACACACACACACACACACACACACACCAGTCAATCTTAATGAAGGATGAAATTCAAATGGACAATAAGCATGAAGAATATTCAACGTTAGTTGTTGAGGAAATGCAAATTAAAACTACACTGAAATGCTACCTTACCCGAGTCCTAAACTAAATAGTAAGCACTAATGAGGATGCAGAGAAAGGCGAACCCCTATATACTGCTGGTGGGAATGTACGCTAGTCCAGCCATTGTGCTTAATGAAGGATGAAATTCAAATGGACAATAAGCATGAAGAATATTCAACGTTAGTTGTTGAGGAAATGCAAATTAAAACTACACTGAAATGCTACCTTACCCGAGTCCTAAACTAAATAGTAAGCACTAATGAGGATGCAGAGAAAGGCGAACCCCTATATACTGCTGGTGGGAATGTACGCTAGTCCAGCCATTGTGGAAATTTGTATGGAGGTTCATCAAAAAACTAAAAGTAGGACTGGCAAGCAAGCTCAGCAAGTAAAGGCAGTTGCTGCCATTCCTTCCAACCTGACTTCAATCCTTGGGACCCATAGGTAGAAGGAGAGAGCCAACTCCCAAAAGCTGTTGTCTGCCCTCTGACCACTACGCATGTCATGTGTGTGCCCACTGACCCACCCACCCACTCAAATAAATATAAAAAACAAAGAAAAAGCCTAAAAGCAGACCAACCATATATCCTAGCTATACCATTCATTCCTGGTAGTAACCAAAGAACTGTAAGTCAATATACTACAGAGATATTGCTACAATGATGTTTACTGCAGTACTATTCACAATTAGCTAAATTATGGAATTAACCAAGATGTCTGTCAAAAGAGGACTGGAAAAATAAAATGCACGTATGCACAATGGAATTGTATTCAGTCATAAAGATGAATGAAATCATGTCATTTGCAGAAAAATAGATGCAACTGGAGATTATCACATGAAGTAAGACAGCCTCAGAAAAACAAATGCCACATGTTTTCTCTCGTTTGTGGATCCTAGATTTTTATAACTTGAAATAAATATATAAAATCATGTATGGAAGTAGAAGCAGAACTGCCTAGAGGACGAATGGGGAGTAGGAAGAGGATGAACAGGGGAGGCAAAGGGAGCACAGGGAAATGGTCAAAGTATGTTATATACTTGTATAAAATGTTATTATGAAACTCAATACTGTATACAGTGAATACAGGCAATAAAAAATGCTTGCCCTAGTTAGAATTAAAAACATTTACCCCAAATCTCTAAGGACACAAATTCCATACTTCATGTAGAAGTTAACATATACTTAGTAACTTATGTTCTAATTCAAGTTAGTCCTAAATGAATTCAGGAACATCTACCAAGATACAAATTTGAATTCTTTTGAAAATGCCCTGAATACTACAAAAAGGAATTACCAGAACCACACACGCACACTAG